GGTGGTTATTGGAAGTAGTTTACTAGAACTTTGGTGGTTATTAGAAGTAGTTTACTGGAACATTATTGATTATAGAAAGTAGTTTACTGGAACATTAGTGATTATTGGAAGTAGTTTACTGAAACAACAGTGGGTTATTGGAGATAGTTTACTAAACCAACAGTGGGTTATTGGAGATACTTTACTAAAACAACAGTAGTTATTGAAGGTAGTTTAATAATAGAACAGTGGTTATTGGAGATACTTTACTAAAACAACAGTGGTTTATTGGAGATACTTTACTAAAACAACAGTGGTTATTGGAGATACTTAACTTTATAACAGTGGGTTATTGGTTGATAGTTTACTAAAACAACAGTGGGTTATTGGAGATACTTTACTAAAACAACAGTGGGTTATTGGAGATACTTTACTAAAACAACAGTGGGTTATTGGAGATAGTTTACTAACCCAACAGCGGGTTATTGGATATAGTTTACTGAAACAACAGTGGGTTATTGGAGATAGTTTACTAAAACAACAGTGGTTATTGGAGATAGTTTACTAAAACAACAGTGGTTATTGGAGATACTTTACTAAAACAACAGTGGGTTATTGCAGATAGTTCACTAGAAGAATGTTATTTTCAACTGGTTTACTTGATGTTTTTCTTTTTATTTCAGAGACACAATCATCATAACCCTAGTAGATGCTGGAATAAGTATTCTTTTTAGTGTACTGCTTTCTTCATACATAGGAAATGTAGCCAGCAGAGAGAATGAAAACATGACATATGAATACCTAAGAACAATCATGTTCACAGAAGGTAAGAGATTCAGGGTAACAATGAAGGGTTAAGTATGTTATATTAAAACAACTTTGTATGTGCAAATCAGCAATTCCCATGAGAATCGTGGAAAACACTAATCCACGTATGCTAGATGGATTATGGACAGTAGTCAGAGAGGAGTGGTATTTTTTTAATGTGACATAATTATCACAGAGACTTTTGCAATGGAACCTATACTCCATGGTCATTGAATCAGATTATATATAATGCTGAGAACCAGGTTTTAATACCTGTTTTGGACACAGCATAGTTAGCACATTTTGTAGCTTTATGCTTAACTACAAATAAACAGTTGGTGAGATTGTAATCTTGTGTTAACTACCAGTGCTTAGAACTTAATTTTTGACTCTAAGGAAATGTCATTAAGTATATTCAGAATGTCAGTATAGGTAATACTGACCATATAAATATTATCCCATTTTAAAGGCATATTTTAGGTTTATTTTTGTTAAAACATTGAGTGCCTTTCCAAATTCATTATCTCATTAATTTTTATCTCTAGAAAGCTTTGAATAATCTTTATCATAAATATATTTGAATAAATATTTTCTGTGTTAATGTTTTTAGTTTGCTACTAGTTTTTATTATATTTTACAGTTTTAACATTAAATTACTTGCTAATATTTCATTGAGTTAAAAATGTTTTTGTTCTACTGTTTCTAAAATATTGTTTTTTACGTTGTAAAATTAAATTATGTTTGTGAAAAAGTTTATAATGACTTAAGAATTTGCTAGAGGTTTTGTTTATTATAAAGTTAAAATATAAAACCAAAAAGTTATAAAATTGTAAATAAGTGATATACAAGAGGTTAATTTTATCCGATTATTTGTTTATATTTTCCATGGTATATGTTCCAAACATAGATTATGATGCTGCTCCAGAGATGACCCTGGGATTCTTGGTGTTTCCACGACTTTTAAGTAGTCTTGACAACCTTCCTCGTCTCTGGTGTATCATGTTTTTCATCATGATTTACATGCTTGGCTTGGGGAGTACAGTAAGTTTTTGCACTCCACATGGTTTTGATACTTCAGCTAAAAACATATGCCATAGATTTCTAGGACTACCTGTTCTCATCCTTAGAGACAAATTACGGCTAAATACTGATTAATAAGAAGATACAGTATGTGATGACTAGTGGTTTTGATCATTAAGTTCCGATCCAAGCAAGCAAACTACGTATGTTAAAGATAAAAAAATAAAAAGCCTAATAATTAACACAGTTAATTTAATATACCATTCTAACTAGGAGTATGAAATAACTCGATTTGCTGGTTAACTAGTCAGACTGCATGTGAAGTGTACAGGGTTAAAGTCCTTATTTTTTTAATAAAAGTAACATTTAAGACTGTCATTCAGTTTATAGAATAGAAAGGAGTCTTTATGGTAGCAGCTGACTGGCTGCTCTGGTCAGTAGCTCAAAGCAAGGACAGGAATACCTGACTCATAGGAGTCTCTGATCATTGTTTAAAATCATAAAGTGTTATAAATAAACAAACTAGAATTAACACCTGTACTAAATAGTTTACATTTTCTTTTATTGTTTAGATGGCCTATATTGAAAACATTCTCTCAATAATAAGGGATCAGTGTACAGCG